CAATAATGTAAAATAGGAAGAAAAGGTCCAAAGGGGTAGGGGAAGTGGGAGGGGCAGGGGAAAGGAAAGCAGGGAAAGAAAAAATTGGAAAAAATGGAAATAAAGTCTTTGTAAATAGGGAAGGGTGGAGGGCATGAAGGGAGGGCTAGGAATGGGGAAAAAACAAGAACCAAGATGCATTATATAAAGGTACAATTCCCAATAAGAAATGTAATTGTGTTGTATACCTACAATGTACCAATAAAAATTAAGTTTGTGAACAAAAAAAAGAAAAAAAAAAGAACATATGGACTGTTGGGTTAACTCTCCAAAGAGCAGGAAAAACATTGGGAGGAGTGTAAAAATGTTTTGTAAACCCAAACATTTGTTTGTTGTTATATTTCAGAATGATATTTTGCCTCAGATAATTAAAGCCAAGCTCAAGTACTTCAAACCAAAGGCCATCAGTGCGGTTACTAAACATACAACTGCCAAAGTACACAAATACACAGGAACCTACATTTCTAATTAATTAGATAGTATTGTGGAGTTGAGAACACACTCCCTGAACAAATAAATCTGGAAAATGCTATTCTTATGCCATCATATTAAAAAACAGCAATAAACCATTTTAACAGCTTCTTGGCCATGTCACACATAGAGAAGACAAAGGTAACATCTTTTAACTAAAAAAAAGAGACATGGGAAGAAGAATGTAAGATCAGAGAACTTGGTAGGAAAACACAGTAAAAATACACAAATTTTTGTTTTACAGGTTATTGTTTTACCCAAACAGGCAATTTACATGAATGACCAGCAATATACTTGAAGTTAGTGTCAACATTTATAAAAGCCTTCACAATCCATTCCAGAGAGGAAATCAATTGTGTCAAAGAGCTAAGATACTCTTAAGAAACTATAAACTATGTTGAAAATACTTTGAATGATTGACTTGGAAAAATGAGGTAGTCATGTTATAAAGATGCCCAATATATAAGGATGGCTTATTGCAAAAAATAAAAGTGAATCTGATCACTTTAATGATCCCAACTGTTCTTGTAATGAATTTCATATAAAACCACTGAAAATCAGATTTGTTTGGAAGGAAAGTGCTCCCTGAGTAAAATGTGCAGTCTTTTGCCATTGACACTGCAATGGTGCTACCATACTCGGGATCATCATTGTCAGTCTCTTCTTGTGATGCCTTTTATTCTCCTAGGCTGCATTCTTTAAATTCTTTTAGCTTCAGATGACATGTTACTGCCTTCAAGAATTCTTCCATGAACGTGCTTCCCAATGCTGTTAGGGTCCCTCAGAAGATGGACAAGGATCCTAACACCCTGCCCTCCTTACCCCAGTACCTCTCAAAGCACAGATGTATTCTCATTTCCTATTTGTTTTTCATTCATCTTTTAGCACACATGTACACACACACACACACACACACACACACACACACAAGCTCCTTCGGAGCCAGAACATAGCATAGCATCTGGTATCTCCCCAAGAACCCAGTAGTAATCTAACATATTTTCCTTGACTGAATACATTGCCATGAAAAGGATTTTTTTCTGTTTGTCAAAAAAAACCCACACCTTCTAGAAAATTTCCAATTGTTGTCTGCTGTATGCTCCATTAACTATATCTCCTTGCCCTGATAACAGGAATCCTCAGTAATTCTGCAAGCTGGGAAACTGGTGAAGGTTTGTGCCTGGATGCCATTTGATATTTTTCCATATTCAGTTCCAATTTTTCATATTGAGTTAAGAACAAAGAAACTATGCATTATGTAATTTATTTTAAATCAACACCATGAAAATCTTTCCATATCACATGAAAACCTATCATATCATAAAGTCAAGATAGAAAAATTAGGCCATTTTAGTATTCATACCAATGTATGTAAGATAACTGAGTCATATATTTTCCTTTAATTTTGTATTTTTTTAAATTAAACAGTGGATATCATTGGAATCTTTGTTGTGAGGAATTTTTAAGGCCTGTTTTATGTTAAGAAAATTTACTTGAAAGTCACTTTCAAGCTGACCAAGAACATTTGATATTTGATCGATTCTATTTTTTACACATTAACAGAAGTAGGAAGATAGCACCAGCCTTTCTATGAGATATGACATGAAGTGGACTGTATTAGGGGCTCCCTGTTAAAAGGGGACACTGGGGAAGCCTGGGCTTTTTTCCATTCAAATATGAATCAATTACAGAAACTGTTAGATAACGCGACACACTCTGAGCCAAAGGTGTAACATGAACCACTTCAAAACCTCTCAAAACAGCCACACAAACTGTATATATATGATAGCTAGCCAAATCTGACTACTAGTCAAAAATGATGATTTCTGATCTTCCAGACCCAATCTGAATTTAAATTCAAAAACAAGTGAATTTAAAAGAAAAATGTGTAACATAACTTCAATCTATGTCTCAGGAGTTGACTGCCCTTGACATTCTCAGGGAGAGAGTTATCCTTGATGATATGCAAGTCAAGCGCACACACACCCACACACATACACAAACCCTTTTGCTTATTTGCTCATCTGAATGTGCCTTATATGTCTGCTAGGTGCCCTACCTCACATTCTGCATCCGCCGGCATTGTGGAAGTATTTTAGATCCTCCAGAGCTCCAGGGACTCCAATTGAAGCTAGAGCAGAGAAATAGAAACTTGCAACCACACCCACCACACTTTCCCATCATCCTCATCATCCCACTCACAACCACACACATAGGTGTGCAGTGTAAGTTCAGAAAAATCCTCAAGAAGATAGACCATCTTAGTACCATGATGAGAACTCTCAGAATAACCCTAGAAGCCACCAGACTCCTGTGAAGTGAGTTTATTCAAGAGTGAGAGGAGTTAGAATGAGCTACTTTTCTGGGTAAAGGTAGCTTGTGCCGTATTGCTGAACAGCAAAGGAATTCTAACAAAGCACATGTTAGCAAGCCAATTTTTTCCATGAATTTCCTTGGCTAGTTAGCATAGGTCTAACCAACTGCTGCGTACTATTCTAAGAGACTGGGAAGGAACCTGTGTTATCTTTACCACTACAGTGGAATACAAAGTGTTGTGGTAGAGGCCACATGCTACCACTTGAAGAAGTTGTGTGAGACAGAGGAATACGAGAACAAGAATGAAAACTTCACCTCTGTCCATGTCATTGCTGTGGTCTGAATGTGTCGCACCAAAATTCAGACACTAAAGTTTAATGATCAGTGTGATAGTAGTAAGAAGTATGGGTTTTAAGGAGTGATTAGGGCAGAGTCTAACAGGATGTAAAAGAGATGCAAGAGAGCAGTTTGTCCTTTTCATCTTTCCACTTCCGGCTGTGTGAGGATGCAGCAACAAGGGATGATCTTGGGAGCAGAAAGGAGTTCTTGCCAGATACTGAGTCTGCTGGTGCCTTGGTCCTACACTTCCTAACATCCTGAGCTACGAGACACAAATTATGATGTTTATTACTTGCCCAGTCTAAGGGATTCTGTTACAGCAGTAGAAAGAGACTCAGACTGTCATCTTGGAGAATGAATACAAGTTTCTTCAGCATTAATTTCTACCTGCTTGCAACTGCTTTATTTCATCTGAACCTTAAATAATATTGTGAAAATTGTTTAAAAGGTAATAATTAAGTATATTCTAAATCTTTTCCTAACTACATTAATTTCTCAGCACTAAGAGAAGCCTTTCATAATTTTATAAGTATTGTTAACACATTCTATTTATGAAATAAAAATGGCAAATTTAAGAGAAATACTATTTTGATACATATTAATTAATTTTTTCACCTTACATATTTGAATGTTGTACAAAAATGTGTAATACCAAGAAACATTATAAAGCACCATGATATTTTTCTGGTAGACACAAAATGAAAGTGAACTGATACATGATTAAGAGGAGAAACAGAGTTTGAGAATTGCAATATAGTATCATAAGGAAGAAGTTAGAAGTCATAAAAATTTATATGTATATCTACATATAGATATAGATATGGATATAGATATATAGTTCCACTTGGACTTGTTCTTTTTCTACAGGGAAGAATAAATAATTCATTGGGAAGTAGGAAACTAGTGGCCACAAATCAATGTGCCTTTTATACCAGCAAAGTAAAAGTGATGCCAAAATCAATTGTAACTAAGGTTCAATTGTCATGCTTATGCCTCTCTACAGCTAGGAAATTTTCCAAAAACAAAAGCACAAATTTTGATTTCGTGAAAGCAAGGCTTTACATTTTTAAAAACTCAGCAAAGAGGCAACTGTAAATAGTCAAGACAGATGAAATTATTTAAGGTCTTACAAGAAGGAAACAAAAAGAAAATTTTGTGTAAAGTGTAATTGAATATACTTATGGACAGCTTTCTAAAAGCTCTATCCTGCTGTTCAAAATTCTTCTGGCTTATTCATTTTTAAGATATTTTATTTCAAGATCAAGAAGTTATGGCAAAAATGCTAATGTTATTACTTACTTTATGATAGCATAAATTTTTTCTTCTAGAAATGTTTATAACATTCTCAAGCTATTTTCTATCCTAATCTTTAATGTCAGACAAAATTACATACATGTAAACCATAAAATATGTAATTTACATGCAAGACACAAACTGCATGCAATCAGTGCTTAGTAAGTAAAATCCCACAAACCAGAAAGAAACTACAAATGTTTTTTCACTAAAATCACTGGATTCATTCTTTGACCCTCTAAAAGTGGTTGTTGAAAAAGTACATAAATGAATACATACATCAAACAGATGCCAAAACTTTCAAAGGTCATTTTTAGCTTCATATAGTAATAAAAAATTCAAGGCAACTGTCAGAAAATAGCTGGCATAGTACCATACTGGGCTGACATCAAAGAAGGTGTTGATGTTATAGTTACTTTCAGACAAAAAAATAACTTAGTTTGGGGTTCTGATGATACTCACATCCTACCCTGTGAACCTAACTGTCTTGTTTTGACAAAACAGAGAGGAACCTGCTGTCATAGGAACGCATCAGAATTCAGAACAGCCCTTACTCCTCAAGAAATGTTCCCGAGAGATGGCAGTGTCCTAGATAGCTGAGGGATTCCTTGCTATTAAACGCCCATCCTCTGCTCCACTCTCCCATCTCCAGCCATCTAATGACCAGAATCTACTCTGAGAATAACAAATGCTTCAGGGAACTTATGAAACCAGAGACCCACAGATACACATGTCAGAGCATAGAGGTATGGCCAGAGCATGGCTTCTGTTATGGTTTAGACCAAGAATGGCCCCCAACACTTTCATGCCCCCAGAGCCAGTGCTGTTGGCTGGTAATTGGGCTGTGGGGCAACATAGCTGAACATGCTGTTAGGAAGTGGGTCCTGTTCAGAAGAGAGGAGGCACTGGGGACAGGTCCTGAAAGGGAATCTCTCCCTCCCCAGTTCCTCCTGTCTCTGTGTGACTTCAACATGACATGAACCACTTTCTTCCCCCAGGTCTTTCCATCATCCTCTTCCTGCTTTGGAGCCAGCAGAACTGAAAACATGGGCCAAAATAACCCTCTCCTCCTTCAAGTCACTGGTGTTGGGTGTTTGTCCCATGGATGAGAAAAGCGATTAAAATAGCTTGAATGTGAAGGTAAGAACTCTGGACTTGGTCAGAAAAGCCAAAGGGAACTATGAAGCTACTGGTTTTATCAAATATATGATATAAGTCAAAGCTACTAGTTAAGAAGTTTCTATTTTATTCAATAAACATATGAGTTCATCTGAAGCTTGTCTGTTGATTTTGTCTAGCCCATTAGATTCTCACATAATGTTATTTTCCTTTCCAAAGAAAATAGAGATTTTCTTTCCAATAGAAAATAGGGATATTGAATCAATATGGCCTCCTATACAAAAGTTCAGAGCACTGAAACATTTGCATAAGCATACTAATTATAGACACTAGAATCAGTGACAGAAATACTTGGAAATATCTATTCATTTAAACCATCATGTTTTTATTACTTTTAATTTTGTTTATATTGTACAACAAATATTTGTAGAGCACAGGCAATCAGTCAATCACTTATATCATTCACTGCCATGGTTTCAAAGATATGCAAACACAGAATGATGACAGAATAAGGTGCAAGTGAGATATAAATGTTTGTTTCCCCTAATGTCTATTTAAATATCACCTGGACTCTTATTAAATAATTCATTTTCATTGAGTCTGGCAGTTTGCAAAAGGCATAATCTCTTCTCTCACAGAAAAATCCTAAGTAAGATGCATTTAAGGAGTGCTTCCTTTCAAAAGACCATAGGAGGCTGGAGCTGAAATGAGACTTAGAAATCACTCCATGTGAGGAGATGGGTTCCAAGCATAAGAGTGGGATCACTGAGGACAGGACCTGAAAAGGTATCTCTGTTCTGGTCAATATGACATGAGCTACTTTCCTTTCCCGGACCTTTCCAACATCCCCTTCCTGCCCTGGAGCCAGCTAACCATGGACTCTTAACCATGGAACCAGAGGGTCCACAGATGATGCAAGCCCCTAAATTTACATAGGGCGTGGTACGTGTACTTGTACATGTGCATTTGGAGGGAGGAGAGAGAAAGCAGGTTTGATCCACGTAGATTTCGTCAGATTTTAATAAGTGAAAAAATAAGTGCATCCACTTTAACTCAAACTCTTTATTCTACATATTCTACACATTGGGAAATTGAGACCCAGATGGGGGAATAAAATCACTCAAAGTCATGAAACTGTAGCTGTTCATGTTCCAGATGGCACTGGTCTCCTAAAATGCAGTCTAAATGCTCCTTCTACTTTCCATACTGCCTCTATTCAGATACTTCCACTGTGAAATCGTAAAGATGAAACTTTTCAGAATGAGAATGTATAACACTTTAATGTTTCCTCTGTCACTCTTCTATACTGCTCTTATTCTGGGAAAAAAACAACCCAAAAAGCATTTGGAACTTAGAAATTGGAATTTATTTGGAGAGAGATTAAAAAGTCTGAAGAAGCAATATACCCTTGCTTCTAAACCTAGAACATTTAATTTTTCAACCAAGATAAGTTTTAAACACAAGAAGGGCAGGTGGCTCATACCATGTAATTGGAGACTGATATCTGTTACCATCTTCAGTCAGTGTGGAGAGGTAGTCATGAAAATGGGCCCTGCAGCCAGACTCTGAATACAAATCCAGTCTCCTTCCCTTTCCAGGATCTTAAGGTACTTAGCTTCTCTGTGCCTCTGTTTCTAATACAGTAGAGACACTGGTGCTGCTTGTCTTAATTTAAGTTTTCCTGAAATTGGAACTGACAAGATCTTGTGTGCAAGTTTACTCAGAAGATCCCTCTGGACACAGTGCAGAAAGGCAAGCGTGAGCCAGAGCTGCAGAGGAGTAAATTATCGAAGTTGCTTCTCCAGGCAAAGGAAGTTTGATGCAGCCAGGGTCTCCGAGAGCTTGCAGAATGCCTCTTGGAATAAGCCATCCAAAGAGCGGAGGCTGGCAAATTCACCCACCGGCTCACACGCACCCACGCCTGAAGGCTGAACTGAGAATCCCTCTTGCTTTCAGCTTGGCTCACAAACAGATCCAGCGACATCCCGCGGCTTTAGAGGCAGCACGAGACAGAAAGCAGACTGACACACAGTGTGCTTGTGGTGAGACACTCAGCACGAGTCTGAGCTCATACAAAACTGTCTGCCACAGTGATGACTGACATCAGAGTCAAGTCGAGGGACAGTGACACAGAACACTGACACCACTGGCTGTATTATCTACCTCAAGGCATTACTGTAGAGCTTAAATAAAGTAATTCATGTAGAGTAGTCAGAACAAGCCTAGCATGGAGGAAGAGATCATATCAGCTCTTTTGATATTTATTGTGTACCAAATATGAAGTACCATGTGATACCCAAAAATAATACATGAATAACTAATAACACAGACTTTGCTCTTAATCTCTTCAGTCTTCTTGGGGCAACAAAGAAGCATTTGTCAACAAAAGTTATGAAGATTATGGTAAAGGTTATCACTGGGTTTAACTGCTGCACAAAATAGTAGCGTGCTGCTCAGAGACTGTAGTAATCAGAAGGGCATCCCAGAAAAAGTGGTGTCAGGATAGAATCTTGACTGATACACAGAGTGGCCTCAGGGAGGGGAAATGTTTCAAAAGAGAGAGCAGCACTTACAGGGGCAAGTCACAGGAGCAAGTCACAGGAGCAAGAAAGAACTTGGAGTTTTAAAAACAGCAAGGAGTTCAAAGGTACTGGAACACTGAGTCCCATAAGGTGACTGTTAGTACATAAAGCCCTACCATACAGAAGGAAAACCAGTCATGAAGGAAGGATAAAGAGCAGTTTGCCTTCGTTCAGAATAAATTCTGTAGCGAACAGAAACAATATGTAGGATTTGTGGTTTAGGAACCTGCTAGAAATACAAAGGCTGGATTGTGGACAACCACATTGAACACAGAAGGGAGCCAATGAGAGGCTGTTAAAATAGCCCAAGGTAAATGCGAAGCATAGTGATATCCAGATTGGTGGCAGTGAAGGCAAGAGGTAGAATGCATAGGTTTTGGACACAGGGTACACACAGAAGTTGAGGAAGGATGTTTCTAGGATGACTTATTTTTATTTACTTACTTAAATAATTGATTTCTTAGTAATGTTTTTTAACCAAGACAAAAACTAAAGAAGAGATATACATCCCAGAGAAGGAAGAAAAAAGAATGAATTTAATTAGGATCTGCTGATTTTGAAGGATTGACCAAGTATGTGCTGTTCACATCTACTGTGTTGTTTTAGCCAAACTCAGCCAAAGCAACTACAGTAAGGTGAGAAGTGTACACAGACGCTCCCGGCATGCTCTGCAAGGCCCTCGGAAATACCTTTCTGGGTCCCAAACTGAAATTACACCTCAATAAATGCTATTTTATTAAACTATGGGCTACATGAAATCACCTTTTAACTCCACTAATTTATTATATCATCATTAAAGTAGACATTAGGCCCATGGCACTGAGGTATTTTATAATACAATGTAGATTAATGGTGATGTCTGAAATTCTATCAGTGATGATTTATTACTCTTCAGATATCGTTCTCTCCAGGAATTTTTATTTTAAAAGTGCAAATACCATTGGGTCCAACATTGAGATGTTATTACTCATTGACAAATCTATTTTCCTTCTTTAATCTAGGTGGGGAAAAGGCACTAAGGGAATGAAAGCTTTGATGTGGGGTCATTTGAAGTGCAGAGGGGAGGACCAAGGGGAAGAGACTGATTTTTCTTTGAGATTAGAAGTCATCAATGGCCTGAGCAGCTGTGTGGAGGGAAGAGGGGCTGGAGTGGGGGAGATGGTCACCAGAAATGAGAAGTCACCAACGCCCAACTTCATCATTTTAGCTCTTTGAACTCAGCCAATAAAATCAGGTCTGATACATGGCATGAAAAAAACTACACTGAAAACAAACTGAATCATCACTGCTGAATACTGATAACAGCTGCTCCTTTGTAGTATGTTTTGATTAATGTACATTAATTGTTCATAGTAATGTGTGATATTTCAACACATTGCAATAATCAAATCTAACCTCCCTTTACCCACCTGTGGCCCCTTCCCAACCTTTAATAATCACAATTATAAATTCCAGATCACCTCTTGGTCACTAGAGTTGTCAGGGAACCTGGATTATCCCCTTGGTTGGGAGTGAAGCCAGCCATCTTGGTCCAATATCAATGTTCGGTTTATATATTGAATTATACAATCTAAAATTTTACAATAAAGATAAATTTTGATTTAATAATGTTAATAAAAGTAAAAGGGCTCTAATTTATGAGAAGATGGAAGCCAGTCCCTTAGCTTGTAGAGAGGAGGAACTTTTCTGGCAGATCATTTTTTCAGTGAATTAATAGCATTAGTTTTGCCGCCTAATAAACTGGTACCCTGAGCATCAAACCTTCATCTCTTCTATTAAGTGAAACTATTCCCACTGCCCTCCTACCAAATTCTTTCATTAGGCAAGTACCTTAGGTCAGAGTTTCTTTTACCAATTATAGGCCTCATCGATTCTCCAATCTCAATTTTAAGGGGCTCTAATAGGAATTTAAGTTTCCTATAACTAACAAGCAATTGCATTAGAAAAAGAATGAGGCAGGGAAGAGTGATTACAGAATTGAAGGGAGAACACATGCACTTATCTACACAGCACTACTCTGTGCCAAATTCTCTGAGAAGCCGTGGTAATACAAGTGTGGTGTTTACATCCAGTGGGCTCTTGGTCAAGCATGAGAAACAGCTGTGAAATGCACAGATAGCCACAAAACAGAGCAAAACTCTAACCACAGGGAAAAGGATCACTGCGTACCAAAGCAAGGCACACTGCCAATCAGCTGGCACCATTCTCTCCACCAGTTGGCCAACAGACACATATTAAGGCTGGCATTATTCAGATGCAGGAGACTTCTCTCTAGATAGGAAGAGGACAAGAGAAACATCCTGCACATAAGAAGGGCCACAAAGAAGACCAATTTGTGGGATGCTCATAGGCACAGTGCTCAGGGAAGCCCCCTCTGAGCACTGGAGGAGGTGGTCATGAAAAGCTATGGGAGAGCTTCAAGCTGGAAGCTCAGCAAGAACAGAATTCCTAGGCAGAAACAAATTAGCTTGCTATGTTTCAGGGACAGAAATGGAGACAATGTCACTGCAACATGGTGAACTAGGAAAAGACAGAAAGAAGGAAAGCTTGGAAGTTACTCATAGGTCAGACAACTTGGAACTTTGGCTGATGTGGTTAGAAATTTACATTTAATTAGAAGCTGTTAGAAGGGCTCATGGGAAGCTGTGTTCTAATGAATGCCGCAGAGAGGCTTCTCTAGCCACCATGTGAGAAGCTATTTTAGTGGAGCAATAAAGGAGGCAGGTAAACCAATGAGAGGTTCTGGCTGCAGCTCAGCTAAGAGAATGATGGCAATAATTCAAGTGGCAGATGATGGTGGCTTGCACCAAAGCTATGGATAAGGAGACGGTGCAATGTGTAAGACTCAGGATATGTTTTGGAAATGAAATGGCGGGAATTATGAAGAATTTAGTACATAAAATGAGAGAAAAAAATAAGGATTTATGCTCAGGATTAGCCTGTGCAGTGCTAAAAATAGCACTTCTACGGATTTTTTTTTAAAGGCTTAAGAGAAGGCAAAAAAAGCAAAATTTTTCTGGCCATACTAAGTTTGAGATTACAATTACAAACTCAACTGGGTTATTTAGATCACTGGATCTATGGTTACAACAGAGGTAAAAAGAGGTCCAGGCTGGGGATATAAATTTGTGAGTCATCAGAAAATAGATGGTTTTGAAATTATCTTAACAAAACTCTAAGATGTGTCATGCACCTTACACTTATGAGGCATCTGTACTGCATCAAACACATACCAGTGCTATGCTGGGATAAGCAGAAGCCTATCCTTAAGGAGCTTATGAAAGAGTTTATAGACCAGTGCTTCTGGAGAGGAAGTGAGACATAAATAAATGAAACATATATCAGAAAGAAGCCAGAGCTGTAAAAGAGAGCAAAGCAAAGTGGAGCTGAAGATGTGATTGATTCCAAGTGAGCAGTCTGTTTCTCACAGGTCTTAACATTTCACATGACCTTAAATAATATGTGCATATCCGTAGGTGGATAAAGGGAGAAAAGGCTGAAGGTCCACTGTGAGCAACAGCAAAAAGATGCAAAAGTGAATACAAAACAGCATCGTGGAGCAAGAAGGAATGAACAAATGAATGCAGCACAGTCCCCAACAGTAAAGGAGCTTGCACTCTATGTAAGAAGAACCATAGGTGCACAAATAATAAAACTGGCCATCCAAAGAGGACCAAGAAGAATATGCATGGCCTAAGGAAGCAAACTGGTATTATAGAAGTTGATGCTTTAATGACGCAACCTAGCATTACAATTGCTTTGGGGGCATGAATTAAAGAAATGGATGCTTTCAGAGACGGATGCTGCAAAGTAAAAAAATTGAGGGCCTCCTCTTGGAGTAGAGAAAAGAAAAAGGATGAAAAGACAATGATTTTATGCCTGTGAATTCCCAATAAAAAACAGACCTACACAAAATCTGGTACCCATACTCTATGATATTAATTTGAACATAATTATATCACCAAACAATTTGAAGTCTGGTGTGACACAACCGAGACAGTAAATCCAAAGCTTAGATCTAGTGGACAAAATATTTTTTAAAGAAGGGCTAATTTGTTTAAAAGACTGAGCTTTTGACATAATACACTTGTTCCAGAGCTAAAATGATACAGCATCCCAAAATTTTGTATTCTTTCCTGTATTTCTGAAGTTCCACAGTTTTTAGAGCATGAATCACAAAGCGAAGTCAGGTAAAGAAGAAAGGCATGAGTTATGGAAACACAAGAGCAATAACACATTATTTTGCCAGGAGAACAGGAGGGAAAGTGACCAAAATTCCTGCTGTTGTTTCCTCAGAAGAGAATGAAACTGATCAGGAATTCTGGAGGGTAAAGCCAAGTGGGCCTATGGATAGCAGTAGGGATGCTATTCTTTAAAAACGTTTCCTATTCACTGGAGTTGGCCTAAAGCAACATAGCAGACAGTATTTAAAACCAAGATAATAAAACCCAGTATTAAAATCACTGCAGGGTTTTGCTTTGTGTCTTAATTTTGTTTTCTTTTAACTTTTTATTAGTTCTCTTTTTAAGAGATGAATGCATGTGCATAAATATATTCTCAGAGTGCATGAATATATTCTCACCATTCCTCACAGTGCTCAACAATTATTTCTCTCTTTCTTTCCAGACTGTGTAATTTCAAGACGATCAGAAAAAAAGCTTGCCATCTGGATGTCATAATAAAATAATGAATTTTTGAGGCCTGCCTGGAGCCAGCGAACCAGGACAATCACAGTGGAGCTGGCTACACACATGTGAGCACAGCATCTGAGAAGACACTGGGCTCATTCTCGGCATCCTACTGTTTTTCACTATGATGTTCCTTTGACCTTTGCTTGAAGATCATAAACTAAATCTGTCCAGAGGCAGATGTGTCATATTTGGGCAACTCTAATAATCATAAACTTCTTCTTTCAATCTCTCTTGAAATTTGCTTCTGTATAACTCTGATTAGTTTCTTCTTGTTCTGCCCTGGAAACTACACTGAGCATGATCCCTTTACATTCAATATCTAAAATATTTAAAGGCACCAAATAAGTACTTCAATTATGACTACTTTATAAAAAGTACTTCATAAGTATTCCCTTTGATTTTGCTGGAATCACTCATTGTTTACCAGAATCACTCATTGCTTTTGTATTCTGTACATCTTGTTTGACTTTTAAAAAATAAATCAACTATTTTAAAACTTATTTGGACTTACAGATAAATTTTAGATAGGTGAGAATTCCCATATATCTTGCACATGGTTTCCCGTTCTACTAACAACTTAGTGTATGAACTTTGTTACAATTATAAACCTATATTGATACATTATTATTAATTAACACCTATACTTCATTCAGACTTTCTGTTTTCATCTAATTTCAAGGATTCCATCTAGAATTATATTAGGTTCTTCCTGGCTGTGACAGTTCCTCATACTTTCTGTTTTTGATGACTTTGATACATTTGAGAAATACATGTATTTTGAGGAACCTCCTTCCAGTTGAATTTGATTTTTTTCTTCTTACACTGAAGTTAGTGGCTTATGCAGAGAAACCCATAGGACAATGTGTCCCATATTATAACATTGTATCAGCAATACATACTATGAACAGGACTAACTACTGTTGGTGCTGACTTTAGCCAACTGATGAGACAGTGTCTGTCAGGACTCTCCACTGCAAACTATGTATCCCTGCCCCTATCCACTAGGTAATTTCTCAGAGAATGTCGTTCTGCAGACCCATATTTATGGAGTGGATAGTTATGTTCCATCTCCTTGAGAGTAGAGAATCGGCATATGTTATTCTCATTCTCTCTCTCTATCTCTCTTTCTTTTGTTTTATTAAACCAGTTTTATCCATATAGACCTTTGGATATTAATTCACACTTTGGGTTATAATCCAGTAGTGCTTTATTTTGCTGCTGAAATTATTCCAATTTCAGCTATTGGGAGTGTTTTAGTTATTGACTTTCTTTGAAATGCACTCATTGAGGGGGGTTTGTTTGTTTTTGTTAATTTATTTATTTGTTGAGATAGGTCCTTGCTGTCAGGTGATACAAGATGCTGTCTCTAGGTTCACCTTTTATATTCCCTACCTCATGTTTATCACTCATTTCTCATAGATACTCTGTTATTTACTATAACATATGAAAAACCAAAAACTTAGAGGTAGCTAGGCTCATTGCTGTTGGGACCTAGTCCTTTCTATGGCTCCTCAGCTGACAGAGGAAAATGTGTGTGTGTATATACATTCACCCATGTATACACATATCTACATTATTTATATATAAATATCTTTACCTATATTAATGTTAACATAAATTCATACTGATGTGTCAAGCTTTAATCCATTACCAAGTGAATCAATTTGTCTTCTCCCTTGGTTATCAGCAAACTCCCATTGCAACACTGGGAAATCTGGCTCCTACCATTTGCTATCCATCACTTAACTATTCAATTCCAGTGACTTTTACAGCAGTATCAGAATTTTAAACCTATAGTCAGTTGAGAAACAACTGTATCAACTATAGCACTATGCTTATGTATGGTTTCTTTTGACTTTATTTTTATAGAGTAAAATCATTTCCAAAGTTACTTAAATCTTTATGCCCATCCTATTCAGTCACATTATTTACTGAATGTTTAATACATTTATTTTTCTTAAATAGAATTATGTCTTCTCTCATAGAAATTATCCAACATAATAATGAATTTTTAATTTTGCACTTTTTGAAATTTATCCATGCTGTAAAGTTCTATGGGTTTTGACCCAATGTGTACTATTTCACAGTGTCCATATTCATCCTTACAGGATCATATAGGACTGCTTAACCACCCTGAATATCTCCTATGCTTTGCCAATTCAACCCTTCCCTACTCCCTCCTGAACCACTGATACTTTCAACCATCTCTAAAGTTATGCATTTCCGGAATGACATATAATGGAAATTGTCAAATACATAGTCTTTTTAGACTAGCCATTATCACGTATGCCTTTCAGATCCAACCATGTCTTTGGAGGGTTTGGTGGCTCATTTCTTTTTGGTGGGTATTATTCCATTGTATTGTATAGGTGTGCCACAGTTTATTTATCCATTTTCCTATTGAAGTACATCTTGATTGTTTCCAATATTTTCATCATTATGAATCAATCCAGTATCAATTTTGCAAGCAGCATTTTGTTTAACTCAAAAGGGTAAATGCCTAGTCATATGACAAGACTATGTTTTACTTTGTGAGAAACTGCCCACTGTCTTCTAATGTGGCTTATCAGTGTTTAGTTTATTTTTATTTATACCTCCAATGAGTGAGGTGCCTGTTGCTCTGCATTCCCTTCAGGAAGTGGTATCAGGGCTTTTTAAAAATTTTAGCCATGCAAATGAGCGCCATAATGGTATTTCAGTGCTGTTTCAACTTGTGATTTCCTAATAAAAAGTCATGTTGAGCATCATTTGTATGCTTATTGATCATTTGTATGCTCATTGATCATTGTAAATATTTTTAAATTAAATATCTGTTCATACAGGTGGACTATTTCTAAAATGATTAGAATGTTTGAATGTTCTTTACATAATTTAGATAGAGGTCCTTCATAATATATTTTGTTTTGTTTCGTTTTTTCAGTATTGGATATTTAACCTAGAGCTTCATGCATGGTAGCCAAGTGCTCTTCCAGCATATATGTTATTAAGGAAGAAAGCATCTTATTTCTCATAGTAATGTTTGATGTTAATTATAGACTTTTTGTAGATGTTCTTTACCAAGATAAGGAAGTTGCCTTTCTATTCATAATTTGGTGAGAATTTTTATTACAAATGAGTAATGGATCCTGTCAAATATTTTATCTACATCAACTGATTTAATCAGAAAATGTTCCTTCTTTATCCTGTTGATATGGTAGATTTCTGTCTTTTAAAATACAGTGGTCTTAACCTTGCTTACACAATACAGTATGAATGTTACTTTTTTTGTTTCTACTAATAAAAGTAAAATATACATAATTTTTCTAATATGTAATTTCCAATAGGTCCTTGCTTTCAATAAAAGTCTCAAATCTATTTTCTTTCATGAATTATTCTTAATTTAGTTGGCTTCCATTCTCTAGGTATGCAATTGAATTTTTATTCCTCAACAATGGATGTTATTCTTATTAAATTTAATTTTCTATTCATTCAGTAAATACAGAGTACCTTCAGAGTGCTCTTCTCTTTTAAATGCTAAAGATTCAGCAGTGAACAAAACAGGCAATGTCCTTGCCTTCTTAGAGCTAGCATTATGCTGCAGATGACAGAACATAAGCAAATTAAAGACCCTATATAAAAAAATCTTAATAAGCACTATAAAAATATAAAGCAAGGTCTGGGAATATAGGTAAATCCTGGAGATGGAGATGCTGGTTCACTGAGCAAGGTCAAGAAGGGCCTCTACCATTTAATGTGACACTTGAAGAATGAGAAGTCACCTTATGGAGATTCTCTTTGAACTCTGCTATCCAACATGTTATGTCACTCACGGTTTGCATTATTAAACACAAACAGCATGACACAGCAAAGGACAGAGCTCTGCTGGCTATATTAGTTTTGAACTATTGTCAACTCCTCTAAATGGAAACTACATTTCTCACAATTCCTCCTTCCTGGTTCTGAGATAAGATTGGCCACAGAAGAAACTTAGGTAGACTGAAGTCCTGAGTGAGGCCCAAGACTGATTTAGCTCCTACACACCTGTCCTCAGTACACTGGCTGACCTCACTGGCACACAGACACTGCAAGGGCACAACTCCTTCTGTCTCTCTCTCTTCTGCCTGACACCAACATCACTGGAATTAACAAATTAGAGTTTCCAGGCCAACCTCACATATCCTAGCTTTTCCTTCCTCTCATTTCACATCTTTTCTTCCTGACTTCCTGTCACGCTATCAGTTCCCAGAACTAAATAAGGTCAAATCCCTAAAATTAATGCCTTCCTCCATAACATTCCTAGGGATTCCAGCTCTACAACTGGATCCTGGCTGACATGGAGACCATCTCCTTCCCTCAAACTACACCCAGCTCATTTCTTCAAATTCCGTTCCTCAAACTTTTTGTGATTCAACTTATAGGGGATCATTACCCAACCAACTATGAATTCATTTGGCTGTGCTATTATTTATGCTGCATATGATCTACATAGTCTTTTTTTTTAAGACAAGGTTCTGCTATGCATTTCAGGTTGGCTCTTGGACTCACTATATGGTCTCCAACTCATGGTGATCGTTCTGCCCCTGCCTCCCAAGTGCTGGGATAACACGTATGTACCACCATGCCCAGCCTGCATATGACCTATAAGCATATCTTCAGGAGCTACATGAATACCTACTAAAATCAAAACTATCATACCTATAGCTTTTTCTCAGCAAGACAGTCTTAGAAACACATTACAAGAAAAACAGATGAAGCTAATTTGGCATGATTCCTGGTGATAACCATTTCTATTGCTAAAAGCTGACAAGATACCTGTTTAATAATTCCTCCCAGAATTTTGTAGGAAATTGCTATCAGGCTCACTACCCAGTAATTTTCAGGATTCATCTTTTTCTTTCTTTGAAAAAAATGGCACCTCTCTGACTCCCTGTGATTCTTCAGATTACTGGCAGTGCTTCTCTAATCACAGCTATAAATTCTTTCTGTACCCCAAGGATGTAATTTGTCTGACCCTGGAGACTTATATTAATTCAAAGCAGTTTGATGTGCTCTTACTGTTTCTTGTCAAGACTGTTACCAGCTGTGAGCTAAGGTCTATTACTCACACACTCTGACCAAGAGAAAACAAGTTAGGTGGGGCCAGTCAGGATGCAGTGCTGCTGCTCAGTATGTGGTAAAATGTGGTGCTTCCCAAACGCTAATGTGTATATAATTACCCAGGGTAATAACTCTGAAGCACAGAGTGTTATTCAGCAGGTATAGCTGGGGCCTCATGTTCTGTGTTTTAACAAGCTTCTACAAGGTGCAGCTCTGTTGGTCCATGGACCACTTGGAGAATTGAAAGGACATACTGGGGGCAGAGGCACATTTCCTGGAAGTGTAATGAAGCTTCAAGACTC